ATTCTCATAATAATAACATAAATCTAATTCTTGTTGAACTGGTTACTCAATTACTTTTTCTAAATTGATTTCAGATGTATTCTCTCGATCGACCACCTGACGAACTGCCATTACACATTGTCTACCGTTTGGGAGTGTAAATATATGTTTTTATAGTAGTTGATGTTTACTTGTTACTAAGTATAAACGAACGCCCCTACAAACATACCTGGAAGGTATTTTGTTGGGAGACAATTTAGTAATAGTCTCCAGTTTGTCTTGAAACACACATCGTGAAAATGTCTGGACACAAATCTTCTACGAAATTTCCATTTTGCCAATAAATGTTCACATGCAGTCCGCTTGATCCAAATGCTTCTCAACTTATCATTTCTAGGAAGTGCACACCTAAAAATATGTTGCAACGCACTGAGGTACACAGCAACGTTGAAGAATTGAACTCATTTTTTAAAATTTCATAAAACACTTGTAGAAAGCAGGAAACCATGCCGGCACCACAAAATATCCCCCCAAAGTATAGGGGGTATGTTCTGTGTGTATGTTTAGTTGTCTTCATCTATGTTCTGTGCTGTGGTTCTGTGGCCGGCACTAAAGTTGTTTACTCGTCTTTATCTATGATCAGTGCTATCGATTACATCGATTAGACGCCTTGTCACTCGTAACCTTGAAATTGGAAACTACGCCATAAACTCTCCTAGCCCTCCAGGCGATATTCTGTGCATTAAATCACTTGACTTAACTGGAAACTGTCCTGTACTCGTCATATTGATGTCTGTTTGGCGTGTGCGAAGGTAGGTGGCGAAACCCTCAGACCAAAAACTTGGTTCCGCGCAAGTCAATATGAGTGAGCCCCCCATGAGAGTAAGTAAAATCTTACTTACTTACTTGTCTTTATCTATTTTGTCTATCTATGTATCTTATCTTGTCTTTATACTTGTCTTTATCTATGAGTAAAATAACAGAGTCAAGACTTGTCTCCAGAGACAAGTCTTGACTTGTCTCTGTAAAATAATTATTATTCTCTACGCGAGGCGCACCGATTCTTAAAGTTCTCGTTCTCGTTCCGGTTCTCGTCTTTATCTATGTTTCTCGAGGAAAACCTTCTCAAACTGTCCGCCGGTTTGACTCTGTTGCTTAACGAAGACGATCCTGAAGTGTCTTTGGAAAGCATGTTTCGCTTAGTGGAGGTTTTGGTGACGAACCACCGACGGCAAGCTACATTCGACGTTTTCAATAATGCAACTATCGAGTATTACAGCAGGAAATTGGACCAGCTTCTTCAAGGCTCTGATGAAGATTTACTGTACACACTGGTATCCGACTGGATCGAATGTGGCAAGAAAGTGGTCATAATGAGAAACATTTTCTTGTGTTACGACAGATCGATTCAGAACGACTTAAATTTCAAAACAGTCTCAATCACCTGCATGAACTTGTTTAGGAGTATTATTATTTCGCACCCAGCTGTATCCTCCAAAATCACCGCTCAGCTCTTGGGGGCTGTTTCCAAAGAACGTGCTGGTTTTACAGTTGACAAGGATCTCATGGTTTTCATCACAATCATCTTGAGGGACTTTGGCGTATACCGGGGGATTTTTGAGGAGCAACTCTTGATTGATGAGGCTATTTTCAAAAAGAGAGCAGTTTTATCAGCCAGGACAATATGGAAGTCCGCACCTACTTGTGGCATGTGCAGAAGCTAATTCGAGCGGAAGAAACTCGCAGTTATCTCCAGCAGGAATCGATCTGCAAAATTGTTACAATACTGCACAAGTAGGGAATTAAACTATTAAGGTTATAATGATGTTCATTTGCTGATTGTTGCAGGGAAATTATTGCAGCCCACCTGCCCCAGATTCTCAACAATGRCTYTAAGCGCCTGATGGACGATAATGCTCTGCAGGAGTTGAAGCTACTTTATCAATTATTCGGCAAAGTGCAAGGAGCGATTAAATGYCTGACTGAAGAATTWGAAAAATACATCCWAAAGCTATGCTTGACCATTGTTGGCAAATCTAGTGAGAAATTCTTGATTCAGGACTTAATCGATCTAAAGRATAAGCTGGATGAAATAGTACTTCAGTGCTTCCAAGCCAATCCCACTTTCAACGACTTGATCAAGAACACCTTCCATAAAACGATTAATACGGAAAGTGGCCAATCTGCCTTATATCTCGCTAGGTATTTTGATGGAAAATTAAGAGCGAAGAATATCACTGAGGAGAATTTGGAGGCCACGTTCAACAAAGGCATGATTATGTTCAGGTAACGATTCGAACAAAGAGAACGAATTTGCTTAATAAGTACCAAATTTTCTATGCCTGCAAGTTATCTTTAGTTGAATAGTTTTTATCAGTTGAACAGACCTCGGGCGTTCAATGGAGTTTTACAAAACGGTCGTGTCTTAATATTGAAGCGGTTTCGCTCTTACCACCGGGAGTAATTACATTATTCACATTTATCTACGCACAAGAAAGGAGTTTTCTTTTGGCAAATATCGTTTAAAGAGTTCATGTAAGTTAGTTAGATAGTTCATGTAAGATAGTTAATTTCACTGATTTGTGTCTCCACAAGGGTCACTGTACATGGTGGTTCGCTTGGGATATTTAATCTTGCACCCTGAAAGTATTAACCCACCGCCACTGCGATGGGTTGATTTTTTATGCAAATTACACCAAGAATATTTATTTGATAAATTGGTTTATCAGTAAAATCTTTCACCATTGAAACAATTCGTTTCCGTTACCTAATCACGGATGTTTTCCGGCCAGAAATATTGTTTTGTCTTTTTGAGGCTCCTTCCGGAACTATGGACTTTTTTTAACTTGCGCGGATTTTGCACTACAGTTTTCAAAATACAATTTCTCAAGAACCAGATGAGATATCAACTTGCAGCTTTCGGCAGATTTTAAAAGAGGCTTTACTTTAATTTTCATGTGGTTGTGGAGATAATCCAGAGAAGAGGTTCTTCGCGAATAATTCCGAAACTTTGGCAGTTTTTTACTTCTCGCGGATTTTGCACTACAGTCTTCACATGTCTATTTTTCACTAACCAGATGAGATAATAACGTGCTGCTTCCAGCAACCCTTAAAAAAGCTTTATTTACATTATCATGTGAATGTGAAGAAAATCCGCAGAAAAGCTTCTTTGAAGAACTTTTGAAGAACAGTTTTTACTTTGCGCAAAGATTGCACAATAGATTGCAGATAGCAAAGGTGAAAAGATCATTGCTCAAAAACCAGATGAGATATCAGCTTTCGACCTCTAGGACTTCTAAAGGAAGCTCCTCTTTAATTATCATGTGAATATGGAGAAAATTGAAGGAAGAGATTCTGCGCAATAAACTCCCGAACTTTGAGTAGTTTTTTACTTCGCGCTCATTTGCACTATAGTCTTCTAAAGGCAATTTTCGGCCGAAGAACCGATGATATATCAACTTGCAGCTTCTAGCAACCCTTAAAGAAAGCTTTGCCTTTATCTCCTGCGATCATTCGCAAGATTATTCCAGATGTACATTTTTTATGAAGTTCGTAGCGATTGTCAGCGAAATATAATCTGCATATGCCTCTACAAAATTCTCATAATTTGCCAGTACCTCTCCGCTCCATTTGCCATGTGCAGGTTTTCATCATTATCTGGTTAATTTTTTTCCAGATTTCTTCAAAGCAAAGACATCTTCGAAGCTTTCTACAGAAAATGCCTATCGAAAAGATTACTATTTGGTAGATCGACCAACCAGGACATTGAACACAGCATAGTTCTGAAAATGAAGAGGAATGCGGTGAAGGTTTTACATCGAAAATCGAAGGAATGCTGCGCGATATGAATCTCAGCAGAGATTAACAGTAACTTCAAAGAGTTTCTATCAAACACCCAGCACAACTTGTTGGACAAATGCGACATTTCAGTACTCACCAGTAGTTTCTGGACCAAGATGACTTCAAATTCCTGCATTATTTTGCCTGATGATCTATTGACCTATCAGGCGATTTTCGCTAAATACTACACGTCCATCCACAGTGGGAGAAAGTTGGATTGGCAACCTCATTTGGGGCATTGCATTCTAAGGGCCACTTTTGGAAGTGCTGTTAAGGAGCTGGTGGTTTCCTTCTTTCAAGCCATCACTTTGCTGTTGTTCCAAGAGAGCAGTCGACTGACCACAGCAGAAATCGAGGAACTCTCCAAAATGGACAGGAAAGACCTGCTGATGACGTTGCATTCACTTTCCTGCGGAAAATACCAAATCCTTGTCAAACATCCTCCAAATGGTTCGGTTACAATGGAAGACTTGTTCGAACTCAACAGGGAGTTCAAGGAAAAGCTGTTTAGGATAAAAATCAACCAGGCACAACTTAAGGAATCAGTAGATGAGGTGAAATGCACTGAAAGGCGAGTTTTGGCGGACAGACAATTTCAAATAGATGCAGCCATAGTGCGGATACTGAAAAGCAGGAAAGTAATCACTCACAATGAACTTGTGAGCGAGTTGTTTATGCTGTTGCATGTACCGATGTGTCCTCAGAATCTGTCTAATTGGGTTGCTGATTGAAAAGGAGTATATTAAAAGTGACTGTAATAATGCCGCTACTTACACGTATGTCGCATAAGCCAGGAAAATGTTTTGTTCAATAAAACCCAACTCAAGTTAAATATAGTTTATTAAAGCTTCAGAATATTAAGAAGCAATCAAGGAGGCACATTTTTGATACCATTTGGTCAAGTTGGGGTTGAGCTCGTTGGAAATCCCACATTGTCTGATAGCTGAGAAGGCAGCCACATCTACTATGCCTGCTTGGTTGCTTCCTGCAATCCACGACGCCTTAGCCAGCGCTTTACTCAGCGACTGAATGATGCCACTTCTTTCCACTTTGGTTTTTGTTCGCACTAGAAGATAGCACTGATCCAAAAGCGAGTCAACTTCGAGCGCATTCGAATCGTTCTCGTACGTCAGTGTGGTTTTCGTTAACCGTGATAGGAATCTTAGAAAATTCACTTCGCCAGATACCACCGTTTGCGACAGTAGGAATTCAGAGTTGGATCCAACTGGAAAATATGTATCATAAATTAAAGACATTGAATGCATTACTAATCTGCTCACTGTTTTTCCAAATAAGTTTCACGTTGACTACTGGCACGCCTGAGGGTGGTTGGAAACTGCTCAGAGACTCCTTCAGACTCTTTACTGCATCGGATAGGGAGACGACTGAGGAATGTACGTAGGAAACGATAACCAAGCCGATTTCGTTCTGAAGTAACCGCTGCACTAGTTGGAGTGCGTATGGTGGACTGGATGGATTGGCGGTGATTACTAAGCTTTCAGGTAATGCCTTAATCTGAAAATTATATTGTGGTTTAACTGGTTAAGAGGGTGTTTTTGTGTAAAAAGTTCAAGGGATGTTGTTTCGAGGACCAAATTGATGGATTATTTAGAAACCAATTCTTGTTCTTGATGTGTTTTAGCTTCTTCGGACGATGTCGATCACATTTTCCAATTTTTGCCTATCTACCAAAGGCATGTTTGCTCATAGTCGTACGTTTTTAGCCAAGAAGAGCGTCTTCTACCCGGGCAACTTTTGTCGATAATATAAGAAGATAAGTTGCTATAATTATAACAACGGGTCATAATGAGCCATTATATACAAAGTATTCCCCCTGCAATAGCAACGTTTGTGCCACTTTCCGTACAACGGCCAGTGGTAGTACGCTTTAAAAATGTATTTCAATCATTAATTAAATTCGTTACCAAACTAACGCCAAACGCGACAAAAAACCAATTTCTGCTCACGAACCACAGACTGAACGCTGACTCCCCTACAATAACTGCAGACGGCCAAACGACACAACCGAAAAACGACGTAAGGTACCTTGGAATCACAATCGACCACAAACT